AACTGAACATTAAACCAAGTCATGTGTTTCTGGAAGTATACCATTCTAATAGCTAGAAACCGGAATTAAGAGGTACAAGCCTATTAATTCCAGTACCTGGCAAACCAAGGATGAAGGATTGTGAGTTCAAGGCCAGTCTTGGCTACATATGGACAATCTGTCTAAAATGAAAACAAGTCCAACAAATAGTATAGGGTGGAATTTACCAAAATAATAGATTCCATTGACTTTGGTTTTTCTGCCCCCCCCCCAAAAAAAAACCCTAGCCCCAAATTCTTTTCTCCTACCCAGCATTTTTGGCTTGTCCCTAGTGGTTTATGACAGTATGTTAGCTGTGGAGCAGCCTCACGATATTTGGCAGTTTCTACAAGTATCTGGAACTTATTTCCAGCCAGACACAAGCACATCCCTGGGGGCTAGAAAAGTCAAGTCTTGACACAGCCTTGTACCCTGCCACACACAGACTCAAGAGAGTGCACTTTCACCCTGCTTTCTAGCATCTCATTTATTTTTGTTACTGCAGGATCATCATTCTTTTTTCCTCTTAAAATTTATTATGTGTACAACACTGCCTCCATGTGTACATGCATGCCAGAAGACGGCATCAGATCTCATTATATATGGCTGTGAGCCTCTATGTGGGTCCTAGGAATTGAACTCAGAACCTCTAGAAGAGCAGCCAGTGCTCTTAACCTCTGAGCAATCTCTCTAGCCCTCCCATCCTTCTTTTTCCTTCATTTTTAAAAGACAAGGACTTACAGGCCAGGTTTGTTTTGAACTCAGCTCCGCCTCCCAAGTCCTGGGTTTGCAGGTGTATACCATCATGTCTAGCTTCCCATTATATCTTTTGTTGTTGTGTAAGAGGTCTGCACCCTCTCCCTAAATAAATAAATAATGCCTTGTGCATTCCAGACAAGGACTTTACCACTGTCTATACTTCCAGCCCCAAGGTTGTATTTAAGTTTGGAAACAGGCTTAAAGAGGGACACCTGTGGCCAAGGTCTCCTGCAAGCAAAGTGTTACAAGAAACAGTAGCCTTTGGTAGGATAGCATGGTAGATCCTTGTTTTAGGTAGATAGAGCAGCTGCACCTGATTCTACTCCTGTTTCAGCTACTGACAAGTTTCCAGTCACTGCCTGCTGCTCAGGCTGAGGCCCAGCAGGACTTGTGTCCCACCAGAACCACTTCTGCCATTGCAGTCAAATGTCATTTTTAACTAAATCTCTGTCCCATTTTACCAATAAAAACTAGGGTGTCAGCTGTTGAGGTGAAAGCCTGCTAGCTCAAAGAGGCAGAGAAGCAACCAGCTGACTTTCCTCCTTAGCCAGTGACCAAGCATGAAATTATCTTTTCCATCACCCAAACCAAAAAAAAAAAAAAAAAAAAAAAAACACCACACTCAAAGTCCCTCCCTACTACTTTCCTACTTCCTGTGTGTTTCTCTATTCATTTTCCTGATTTCCTCTAACTCTATGACTACTTCCTGTCAACTAGGGGCTGGTGTGGCCTCTTTACCCAAGCTTTTACTAATTAATACAAACTGGGGGTTCACAGTATGTTATCAAATATCCCACATCCCCATCCCCTTTTGTCTAAATAGAAAGGAAAAGTTGTAACTCTTAACACAGTAAAACTATATACAATAAGAACAATTATCAGGTAAGAATTACATTCACAATGACCAATCCATTTGTATTTGGTAACTTTGGAGAAAGTAGATTGATGCTGCCAGGATCAGATGGATCTAACCGTCATGAAAAGCTTTATGTTATGAAAACATCTTAAATGTCATATTCTGTAGATCTCTGAAGTGCCTAAAGATCACCTATCTATCTAAAATATATGTTTGATCTTGAAAACATACCTAACATGACAACAAATTTGTTAGAGGTGACTAACTACTAACCTGCATTTCTTAATTATCCTAAACAGTTTGTAATAGTAGTTTTCAAAGACTATATTACATTTTTAAATGAGTTGCAGAGGTACAATACCTTAAACAAGAGTAGAAACATATATACAGCATGTTGTAACAAAAATAACTTTAAATTTTTATCAGTATACAAAAAATCATACTAATGTAAAGTATGAGACTAGCAGTTGTATTTTAGTTTAAAAGTAGATTCAATAATCTATAGCTGCTATATCCCTCTTTTTCTTTTCCTCCCTTATCCTCTACCCCTTTCTCAACACTAGATAAGAGAGAAAGGAGGACAGAGGAAAAAAAAAGAAATCTTTGATAAGCTCCTTTGCTTAGTTTCCTTCCTGACCATGACCAATAACAACATGCAACAACCCCCTACCCCCAAAACAGTGACAAATATCCATAACCCACTGATCACCTCACCCTTTTGGGAATATGATCACCATGTTCTTAAAATTGCTTCCTTCAGTCTGGAGCTGAGGGCACCTTTGGGAACCCTGAGAAAATTGAGATTATAGTGAAGTCCTGGGAGAGCTTGCTGTATCATTTATTGTCCAGTCTCTGTGTGATGGGAAAGTGCAGGGGCTTAACTGAAGCCCTGGGTGGAGTAGTCTGTGAGGCTGGACCATCTCATCTAGCAACTTTGAAGTTGTTCTGGATACAGATTCTTGAGGAAACAATAATGGAGGCATTCTGAGAGGCTGGATCACCTGAGCTATTTGTCTTGTCTCCATTGGTGTCTAGCCCTTTTGTTCTGAAAACACAGACTTTTAAAGGTAACATACATATCTGATTAGAATGTGTGGTGTGCATAAATCAGCTAAATAGAAGTCTATTTTTGAGCAAATAAAAGGCATCTGTCAACTTTCTAAGTTTGTTTGGACTATATAAACAAACTGTAATATAAATCTCCATCCATGCTAAGGGAAGCATGGCATATAATAAGTCATGAGAACTCTGTAGCAAGATTTATCATTTCTCATCCAGTTTCAGAGCTGTTCCCATGTAGAGGGATCAGCATATATGTCACCTATCTTAATAATTTTTCTTGGTTTCTCCCTTCATGTCTGCAGCGAATAATATTCAGGTTGTCTTTCCCAGTCAAATGTGATCTTTATTAATTTTGAAGGAATCCAAAGCAGGCTGAGCCAGGTGTTGGTGATGCACACCTTTAATTCCAGCATTCAGGAGGCAGAGGCAGGTGAATCTCTGAGTTTGAGGCCAACCTGGTCTACAAAGCAAGTTCGAGGACAGACAGGGCTATTAAATATAGTAACCCTAATTGATGCTGATCTTGCCTTTAGAGGCCTGATCACCTTTTTGCATTCAAAATTAGCATTTTCAAAAGCCAAAGATTTGATTAATATTTGTCTGACTTCTGGATCTGATGCTATTCTATTTATAGATGAAGTAAATCTTTGCAAAAACTCAGTTTAGGCTTCTTTTGGGTCTTGTATAATTTTACTTAATGACTCAGAACAAGGTTCTTTAACCTTGTCCCAAACATTTAAGGCTTAGAACTGACATAGCACCAAGGTGTGATCATCATTTGCCTTTGTAATTCAGCATACTGGCCTTCCAGCAATTGATTTTGGTAAGTGTTAATACCTTTAGCCTTATTTTGGTCTTCTATGGCCCTAGCTTCCTCTCTCCACCGTACATGTCACTGTAACCGAGGACTAACATCCAATGTTACTGATGCCAAATCTTTCCAGTCTTGAGGGATAATTCTGTTCTGAGTTGCCCATGAATGTAATATCTGCTTCACACAGGGTGAATGCATACCAGATGAAACAACATCTTTCTTAAAGCTCCACAAACCTAATATTTCTATAGTATTATGTTTAACTTCTCCATAATGTTAGGTTGATTTTCTAATAACCCTGGTGTGCCCCTCTTCAATTTCATGCATTGTGATAGTTCCCATCCTTAACGTGGAAAGATTGTTCTTTCTCATATTACTTAACTCTGTTTAAGGACTTCCCAGGTGGCTCACCAAATCTAATGACTTCTCAGTTTGCCCACCGCTGGTGTGATTTCTCTGTTGTGTGGTTGTGCCATGTAGTGGAGCACCAAATGTTTTAGGTACACAGCTGCACCTAAATCTACTGCTGTTTCAGCTACTGACAAGGTTCCAGTCACTGCCCACTGCCAGGCCTCGGCCGACAGGACTTCTGTGTCCCGCCAGAACCACCTCTGCCACTGCGGCCAAATGAGTTTTGTTGTTTTGGTTATTTGTTTGTTTTGTTTTTGGAGACAGGGTTTCTCTGTATTGTTTTGGAGCCTGTCCTGGCACTCACTCTGTAGACCAGGCTTGGCCTTGAACTCACAGAGATCCGCCTCCAGAGTGCTGGCTTCCAAATGTAGTTTTTAACTAAACGCTATCCTTCTGTTTTACCAATAAATAAAGACTTAGGAGTCAGATGCTGAGATGAAAACTTGCTAGCCAATCTTCCTCCTTAGCTGTTGACCAAACTGAAAAAAAGATGACCCACTCAAAGCCCCTCCCTACTACTACGTGCATGTTTATCCACTTTCCTGACTCCCTCTAACTCTCTGACTACTTCCTGTCAACTAGTTGCTGGCTCCGCCTCTTGACCCGGGTTTTATTAAAGTAAACTCGGTGTTCACAATGTGATCAAGTATTCAACGACAGATAATGATTCTCCCGGCCCTGTCCCCTTTTCTGGAGAAGGGTACTGTTGCCCCTTCATTTCCCTACATCATGCCCCTACGGTATTTTCTCATAAAGGGGCCCCGGCTGAGGCGAAAGAGGCATTCGCTTCACACCCGCCACCCTACATAAATGTTTTACTTAGACTGAACTGAGATTCTTCATATCACCAAGCTTAAATAGACTTAGGGTTTTAGAGACCCGGAAGACAGAGCCTGGGCTGCCCATCTCCTACGGTCGCGGCGGAACCTTGATGCTCACCTTACTGCAGGTTGCGGGGGAAGGCACCAAGGGAAGCCCTAGCCTGTGCGCCACCATCTTAGTAAAGGAGTGCATGCCCGGCCATTCGTTCTTCCTCACGCCTGCTGGCTGCTGGCGGGGCGGGGCGGGGCGGGGCCGGTCATGGCGGCCACAGAGCAGCGGGGGCACGCGGTGCAGATGTCCACCCAGGGACCCCGGCCTGGGGCGGCCCTAGATGGAGCGGAAGGAGCCGGGGGACTGCCCTCTGGACGGGGCGGCGGGGCGGCCATCCGGCTCGGGGAACGCCCGCAGGCCGCTATGGAGAAGCGGGGACCCTACATGGTGACGCGCGCACCTTCCATTCAGGCTAAGCTTCGTGAGTGCAGCAGGATGCGTGAGCATCTCTCCCAGAGCGGGCTGCTATGGTCAGGGGTTGGGCCCCTAAGTCCCGTGATCTGGTCCCCAGAGGGGGAAGGGGTTTAGGCGCAGCCCTCTCCCGCCGCGAGAGCCCGGGAAGCAGCGAAATGGGGAAGACCCGGCTGACCCAGGACCTTTTGACTTCCAGAGAAGCACCGGGACCTGGCCAAGGCCGTTCTACGGAGAAAGGGCATGCTGGGGGCCTTGCCGAACCGCTCCGATTCTTCAGGGAAAAGGTCTCAGTGGTTTCACCTCCTCTATGTCAGAAGGTTCCGAAGAAGGCCTTTAGTCTCCTGCCTGGGAAGAGGGCGCTTAAGTTTAAGGTTGAGCTAGCTAGCTAGTCTGCTGACAGGTTCACCTTAAAAATGGGAACTGGAACCACTTATACTCTTCTTTTGAGGCTGTACTAGTGTCACGAAATAGGCATTGAAATAGGGGAGTTCTATCAGTACATAGATAATTCATTAAGGTAAGAGATGGCAGAGAGAAGCAGCTTTGCCTGGTTCAAAAGAGGGAGATGTATTTTTCCTAGGAGCTATCTATCAGTGGTGTAGAGTGGGCTAGAACATGATTTGAGGAGCCAAAGCCACCTGCGTACATTAGGCTGTGATAACTGTGACTGAATAGAAGGGGAGTCTGGAATAGTTCAATTAGTTTTTTTGTTTGTTTGTTTGTTTGTTTTTTTTTTTTTGCATAGGGTGAGTACCCTGCCCTTCCCGGTGAAATGCCTGTTTTCTTCCCCTTCCCATCTCTCTACAGGTCAGTGAAGTTTAACAAGGGCTATACTGCTCTTAGCCAGAGTCCAGAGGAAACCCTGGTGTCCCTTGACTCTGACAGGTGAGTACTTTCCTTGAAAATAGTCAGGGGATGGCTTGGATAGCACTGCAGATTGCTTGGTACCCTTGCCTGTTGCCCATCTCCAAGGCCCTTCATGCACATTCCAGGGCTGTTTCTCTTCTGAGTGTTGTTCCTTCCATGGATGGCATGGCTGGAAGGGTCATCCTGTCCTATTGTGCCTGCACTGTTAGTGAGATGAGTGTTTCTGCTGAAGTCAACCAAGGGAGCCATTGGTACTTAGTGGAGACTCTGGGCTTGAGTCCTATGGTGTGCAGTCTTTGCTTCACAAGTTCTTCAGACCCCTTGCATGTCCTCCTCCTTGCCATTTGCAGCTGTGCTCCATAGATGTCCCCTGAACTGATTGTCTTCCTCTTCTCCTAGTGATGGGGAGCTGGAATCCAGATACTCCTCCGGGTATTCCTCTGCAGAGGCAAGTCCAGAGCGCCTATCTGTGCAGTGCCAGGCTGCAGGCGGCATCACCACCACTGCCAAAACACTTGTTTGGTGCCTGCTGTGTGCACTGCACTGTGCTAGATTCTAGTTTGTTCTCTAGTCTTCCACTATACCTTCTTTCCTTAGCAGAGATAGCGGGTGTCTTAGGGCTGTTGAAAATTCAGGAGACTATATATCCTCAGGGCTGGAAGTGATCTCAAAAGTCTATAATCTAGGAGTCCTCTTGATAAATTCCATCTAAGTGTTTCCTAGCCTTCATGTGCTAGGATGGTTCATGTGATTGGGCATTTTCTACATCCAAGAAGCATTGCTTGCTGCCCTCCCCCAGCCAACATACAACTCCTTCTTTGGGTTATTTTCAAGTCTTCTCTTTCTTGCAGCCTGGACCCACTGGTCATAGGCCTGCCTTCCAATGTCACACAGTAACTCAAGTCACCCTTTCTCTGAGACAGCATTCCACCCTCCTCTATCCATCTTCTATTGAGCCTGCTTTCTTCAGTTTCTGGGCAGTTCTGTCTGAGCACACCTCCTGAGCTGGGCTTTCAGACATCTTTCCAGATGATTGTGCCAGGGGGAAACACAGGGACAGAAAAGTGTCAGCCAGGCATAATAATAGCATGTGGCAGGACAAGTTCAAAGAAGTTGAACTGGGGACATGACTTCACTAGGTCTTTCTCCCTTATTCTCCAAGGAATCTGGCTAATCTCACAATTTTTGCAAATGAGAAAACAGCTTGCATAATGTACCCTCTTTATATGTCTAAGACACTAAGATTGTTAAAATTAAGAAAACTTGCCTAGCAATGGTAGTGCATGCCTTTAATCCCAACATGCGGGAGACAAAGGTAGGTGGATCTCTGAGAGTTCCTGCCTGGTTTACAAAGTGAGTTCTAGGACAGTAGCTATATGGAGAAAGCTTGTCTTGAAAAGCAGGGGGTGGGAGGGGGAGCTAAGAAAATTCTACCAAGAATCCCAAGTCTTAAATTTTCCTAGCCTCTCAGCCTGTTCTACAGAATGAGTTCCAGAACAACAAAGGCTATTGCAGAGAAACCCTTGGGGGGGGGGGGGGTGTAAGGGGTGTAGGATGTAGATTCCTAGCCTCATTGACTTTCCTGCCGGTACCCTGGTGAAATCAGGCTGACTGTTGGACTTCGCAAAGAAGGTAATAAGAGCTGCAAGTACAGACAAAGCTGGCCTCTACCCCTTTCTGCTGTACCACATATATCTTTAATACTTGAGCCCATTTTTCTGTTGTTAGCCCCTTTTTTATTTTTTATTTTTTTCATTTTTTATTTATATATTTATTTATTTTGAGACAGTTTCCTTTATGTTGCTCTGGCTGTCCCTGGAACTCACTATATAGATCAGGCTGGCCTTGAACTCAGAAATCTACCTGCCTCTGTCTCCCAAGTGCTGAAATCAAAGGTGTGAGCCACCACACAATTGCACGATATTCTTTAATCTTGACAGAGATATCTGGGATTCCAGTGGGGAAAAATCAGTACAGTGATTTTTGGATGTTTTGCTTTGTTTTTGGAGACAGGGTTTCTCTGTGTAGCCCTGGCTGTCCTGGAACTTGCGCCATAGACCAGGCTATCCTTAAATTCACAAGAGATCCACCTGCCTCTGCCTCTTGAGTGCCGGAATTAAAAGTGTGTGCCACAATTGCCCAGCTCAGTACAATGATTTTTAATGTGAAGCCTGGATGGTTTTGAGTAAGCCTCTGGGGAATTCCTCACTGCTAGAAAGGCACAGTTTGGAAGTGGTGATGCTTCCTCTGTAATCCAGGATGTGCAGTTGGCCTCGGACTAGGTAGAGTAGGGACAGGAAGCTCAGGTATGGTGACAGGGACCTGTCTTTGGACAGCAGCTCTGCATTCTGGTTTATAGTTCTCTCCTCTTCCTTTAGCAGGTGAACCAGGATGTGAGCCGGCAGCTGCTACAGGATGGCTATCACCTGGATGAGATTCCAGATGATGAGGACCTGGACCTCATTCCCCCTAAGCCTATTGCCTCTTCCACATGCTCCTGCTGCTGGTGCTGTCTTGGGGATTCTTCCTGCACCCTCCAGTAGTCATAACCTTCCAGGATGCACCCTGCTCGTCATGAGGTCTACAGAGCCCCGATGGCCCTTCATGGCTCAGTGCACTGGCCACTGCTGCCAGCTTAGAGTCACTGGGGGCCCTGACCTACAGGCAGCCCTCACCTGGTGCTTCCCTGTCAGAAGCCTATCTGGGTCACAGGAGAATGGTGAAAGTCAGCAGTGCTCTGTTGCGACAGTTTCAGGAAACCACTTGTGAATAAGGGCAGGAGTAAAGACTCTGTGGTTCTTATGCTGCTGACAAGGGTTGCTAAGAAAACCATTTGCAGACATTCTGACTGCTGTTTGTTGAGGCACTCTAAGGAAGGGGAAAGAAAGCTCCTTTGCCTAGGCAGTGCTGGGTGGTGTGGTAGGAGGCAAAAAAAAAAAAAAAAAAAAAAAAAAAAACCAGCACTTTATGGTTTGCAGTAAGAATCTGAAAGAATGTAACAGACCAATTCAAGAAATTCTATATTTTTCTTGCCCCAGCTCTAAGGTCAGCTAACAGGTTTGAACTTCCAGAAAGGACAAAGTGGGTTGTTATTTCAAGTTACATCTGTCTAGTTATGGCAAGGAATAAAGCTTAATGATGATGTAGGATGATGTAGGACGTGGGACATTCTACTGGTCCTGCTGTATGGATGGGCTTAGTAACTGGTCAGCCCTTCCCTAGTTAAAAGGAAGCTGCTCTATCATGCATATGTTCATTTATCTATAGTTCCTTGACATTGGCTAGTTTTTCTGTTTTTTTGTTTGTTTGTTTTGAGCTAATAGTTGGATTGGCTCCTGTGTCTGGCAACAGAAACCTGCAGTTTTTTGATTAGCAGCAGAGGGAGCTGTGGGGCAGTCAGTGCCTTCCTGTGTTTAGCTTTTTAAACTTTAGTGAGAATAGATGTCCTGGTGTAGCTGTGTGGCTTTGGTCTACATGGAAATGGTTAGACAGGATTTGGAGGAGAGACCTAAGCCAGCTCCTGGAGTCCACTTGAGATAGATCAATTTGCAGTGTAAGGGGTTCTTCCCTCTTCTAACAAGGTTTATTCCTACGGCATATGCCTCTGCCCCAGCACAGGGCTTACAGGCTGGAGGTATAGCTCCAGTAGAGCATTTGCCTAGCATTTGCAATGCCCTGGGCTCCAGTCCCACACTGGAACAAAGTGAACCTATGAGTGAGCACAGGCTTTCTCAACCCCAATCCTAAACACAACAAACACAGGAATAATTTCTCTTGCAATACTATGCCTTCCTGGAATTTAGTTTTCCATGTTCCCCTACCTTTTCTTTGTCTTAACCAGGTGTATAGTGGGACTTGGAGTGGACAGGGTACCCAGCATAAAGGGCACAGTAGTCAGAATTAGGGGTTGAGTATCACATGTATCCAGTGACTACTAGAGGTATAGGAGGAATGATGTGTGTCCCTTAAGTCCATTCTACAAGTGGTAGAATGGGTAAGACCAAAAGATAAGTCCTTTGCTGTTACCTGGCCACAGACCTGTTCTTATGCTAGCCTGCTAATACCCAACAGGCAGAAGAAGGTTGAAGGGTATACCATGTCTAGGGGCTTTTACTCAGCTAAACAGCATCACAGGAGGGAAGATGGAACAGCAACCAGAGGCACATCTGCTTGGTTCTTGGGACTGGGTTATAGATGCTAATTGTGTTATGCAAAGGGACTCTGCAACTCTATGCAGGTATCTCACATACTTAGCACCTCCTGTTAAAGCCTGCAGAGAAGGAACACAGACCATGTCTAAGCTTTTTAGAATTCTACAGAGGTGAAACAGATGTGTAAAGGGAGTAGATGTTGTTAGTACAATGTAAAGAAAGACTTGATGGTATGGCTCAGTGAGGACCAGAAATGTCTGTGGAATCCTTATTTCTGTTGGGATTAGGTTAAGACAGAGAAGTTTGGGCATTTGGCTTGGGTGGGGGTGGGTGTAATCGCCAAACCACACCCTCTGGGATGATTGTTGCTGTAATCAACTTTGAGTTACTTGGCTGGAACAGTCCCTAAAAGGGAAGTTCTAGAGCTGGGTGGCCTTGTATGGGAAAGCATTACTTTGGAAAAAGCTCAGGGATGTGGAGCAGGTGATAATGTCCAGTTAATAGGGGTAGAAATAGTCAGGGGATAGACAAGATGACACCAATAAAGGCACACTGGTGCCTAGATTCTAACTGCCTCAGTGCAGAGTGCTGGGTGTCCTGCAGGAGGCAGTCCCTGGGAAGAAGCACATCTGAAGCTTCCTCTTGATGTTTACAGACCACTGTTCTACAGACCTCTTGGCTTGTACTTCTACAGTCTGTTATAATAAATGTCATGGTGTTGGATCTGTATTGTATTGCATTGGTTGAGGCAGGGGCGCTTTTTGAGACAGGGTTTGTATAGTTCTGTCTGTCCTGGAACTCGATCTGTAGTCCAAGCTGGCTGCAAAATCAGAGATCTGCCTGCCTCTCCCTCCCAAGGGATGGGATTAAAGGTGTGTGCCACCAAAGCCTGGCTCAGCTTTTTTTTTTTTTTTAAGCCAAAGAAATTGTATAATAAATGCTAGGGATGGTGGTGCACCTGGGAGGTAAAGGCAGGAGTATCAGTTCAGGTCATCCCCCAATACATGGGGATTTTTGTCTGGTTTTTAAATTGTATCTTATGTGTGTGTGTACGTTTGTGCACCGTGTGTATGCAGCTGCAGGAGCCCCATGGAAGTCAGAAGCATCAAATCTCTTAGAACTGGAGTTATAGACAGTTGTGAGCTGTCTGTACAGACATGGGAGCTAAGAACCAAACCTGAGTTCTCTGTAAGTACTTTTAGCTGCTGGGTCATCTTTCCAGCCCCCAATACACAACAGTAGCCTGAGGTATATGAGAACCTCAAAAATACTTAAAAGGGACCCAGGAGACTCAGTTGGTAAAGAGATTACTCTGTAAGCATGAGAACCTGAGTTCAGATCCCTGTCCCCTCCACCCCCAGCACCCAAATAAAAAGCCAAAGGCAGTGGCACATAGCTGTAATTCCAGTTCTGGGGAGGCTGAGCCAGGAGACTCATTAAGGCTTTCTGCCAGTCAGCCTAGCCGAATTAGTGAGTTCCAACGGAAGGCTCTTGAGGAGTAACCCTGAGGTACATGTGCACATACATATATGTGTGCAAACACCAGAAGCCATATGACGCTGAGACAGAAGTACAACTTCAAAGCCAACCTTTGGAACTCGGCAAGATAGTCTCAAAACATAAGTACACTAGAAGAGAGCCAAGGCCTGCCTGCCTGCAAGCTGTGCATCTGAGGCTGAGGCTGGCTTCCTCTCCAACCCTTCCTATAAAAGGATTCCGGAATCCAGCCTGCCTACCCACAGGAAGCTGTATGAAGCAGAATCAAAACCAGAGAGCTCTTTCTGCCCATATCAGGGGCAGGAATACCAACTGCTCTTTAGTCTATATTCTTGACACAAGTGATCTTTAATTACTTTGACAGAACTAGAGGGAGTAAGTTTCATTAGTCCGCTGGCCTGCCCCTTCCCTTCCCTTCCTTTCTCTACAACTGAGAGCAGGCAGTCCCAGAGCAAAAAACCTGTTCTTAGAGATCACCCCACCTGTCACTTAGATGGATGCTGACCTAATACTGGGTCACGAATGTTTTGTTAGCTGAGGCAGAATTGTTGCCTCCTGAATAGACCCATCTGGCTCAGAGGTAGCAAGGAGTGTTGAGAGAGTACAGTGGAGTGGCAGGCCTCAGTCTTCACACAGATCCCTCACCCTGAGGATGGTCCAACCTGGGCATGCTCTGGAGTCACTAATGCCAAGCTCTCTATTCTACTATTCCAGCATGCACCAAAGAGTGCACAATGGGGACAGGGATTGGGCTGGACCTGAAAAGTGGAGCTGGCCAGGATATGAATGACTGGCAGAGGGGTAGGAACACTGGCCTCTACAGCAGACAGCAGGCCCGGAATATCAGCAGATCCTTGGGCATAGTAAGCTTCAGTGAGACACTTTCATTGGCCCCAATGAAGAGCACTCCACCACGCTGCAAAGGGATTTCTCCTTGAACTGTGGGTGTAGTAGCTGTCACTGTCCCTTGGACCATCAGAAGGATGCTGGCAGAATCTAGTGCCAAGATCTTGTATTCAGTGACAGAGCCAGGGACCTGGTAGAAAGAAGTGATGGAATAGTATAGTTGATATTTTGCCCCTGGATTCTAGAGCACAAAGGCCCTGCTGCCTCCTTCCCCACTGTTCAGACTCTTGGCATCATGGAGACCAACATATGGTCCCCAGTAGAGAAGTAGATGAGCTCTGTGGCTGCCCATACTAGGTGGACTTGACAGGAAATCCAGCCCCAGGTATAACCCTGTAGGTTTGACATGTTACACAAAGGATACCCACCTGGCCCATGTACTCACCTCCATCTTCATAACAGTGAAATCTGGCACAGGGGGGTCATAGATAGAGAGATAGGGGTCATCTTGACTCCGTGTTGGGGTAAACAGCCTGTCCTTGCTGGGGCTAGGTGTGTAGTTGAGCATTTCACATAGGGTTGACACATCGATGAATTTGGGTGTCAGGCCAGCACGCACAGTATTGTCTGAACATGCCATGCATTCCACACAGTCTGAGGACAGATAAATGCCACATGCTAAGATAGTGAAGAAAGTCATGGAGTTTGGCTCTCCAGGGCTGGGCCTCCTAACTTAGGCATATGCTAGCCCTATAAATCAGTTAAAAAATGTATGAAAAGAATTGTGGGAGAATATGAAGGCATCAAATTATGTTAGCCCCTATGTTAACATATCTTATCTTACACTTCTGCAACAGAATCTTGTGAGTGGATAAGCTTTCAAAGTCAAATGGAACACCAGTCAGATTTGCTGGTTCACACCTATAATCACAGCACTCACAAGGCTGAAGTAGGAGGGTTGCCATGAGTCTGAGGCTAGCCTGGGCTACAGAGTGAGACCCTGTGTCAAAACAAGAACAGCAACAAAGCTGGTCAAGGGGGTAAAACCACTTGCTAGGCAAACATGTGGTCCTGTGTTCAAATGCCAAAAACACATATTAAAACTGGTTTATAGAACAAATAGTTGTAATCCCAGTATTCCTATAGGGAGATAGCATACTGGAAGTTTACAGGGTAGCTAGATTGGAGTATGTGGCAAAAAATAAAAGAGAGAGACCCTCAAACAAAATAGAATGAAGACCAACCTTGCCCCCGGGTTGTCCTCTGATCTCCACATGCATCCTAAGGTACATGTGCACCTGCATTCATACACAAGTGACATCCTTCTATTGTATCACCCATACTGTAGTGTAAAAATCCTCAGGCACAGAGTTGGTATGCAAATACCAGTGAGAAGACAGAGAGAAGCAACTCTGTCCAATGAGGCTTG